AAGTTTCAAACTTAAAAAACATTTAAGTAATATGAAACATACATTTTTCAGGAAAGACAGTTTAAACTAGCAGCATACTATAATCTGCACCATGTAAATTATCAAATAGAGTTACAGTCATATTTACTTACAGAAGAAGCCCAGCCTGCAGAGCAAAGTGAGCCCCATCCTCACTTCCAGACCTGCTGCACAGAATCAGAAAAGTTTGCTCAAACTTCAGCACAAAAAAGGAGAAGTTACATTAAATGCATATAAAAACTAATGTTCTTATACCTCTTCTTCAGACCATAAAAGTCCTGCTCTGTCTGTGTTTCCTTCCCTTTTTTTCAAAGTTCATAAAGTATGTAGCTGCATCTTTTACCACAATGATGTGTTAGAAACAGATTTCCTGTCTCTGCAAGAACTTCATCTCAGTTTATGGGAAAATATATCTGTCAGGTTTCAAACATTGTTTAAATGCTACTCTTTTTTAAAAGACTTGGGCTTCCTAAACACATAAGGGAGGTTTGTTGTTGTAAACGAAAAGACTCATTGAATAATGAGATTTATAACTTGTTCTGCTCTACATGCATTGTGTTAAAATTATCAATTAAATACAGTTCATCTCTTTTTTCTTTCTCTCATCTACAATCTATTTATGCAGCCATTGTCCTGCTGCAAGTATCTGTCAATGAACTTGAAAATAATCCACAGTTGGCTGTTATCCTAACAATTTATCTTAGCTCTTCCATATTACTTCTTTATTTTCTTTCCTGCTGTTGCATGAAGATGTACAGAGTTTAGACCCGCCCCATATCTGCAAGAGAATGACCTCTGAGGCTGAGCAAGGCCATCTGACAGAGGACCATTTGAATATTTAATATCATCCTATAAAGTATATCTTTAAAAACATGAAACAAAAGTAACCAAAGCAGATCTTTATTAAAAAAAAATATAAGAAAAACTGATATTGGATATAGCATCAATATATGGTATGGGGCTGCCATGTGGTCAGTCTCTGTCTCTTTCTGTGTGCTGCAGTGACTTCCTACTCTACCATATAAAGACAATCATTGCCCATGTGGTAAACGTTCCTGCATTTGGCTGCAACAATGGAGTTATCTAATTGGTTGCAGTACGTTAAAAATTCATTCACGTCACTTAAGGCGAGGCTCAAAAATCCACAAACAAATGCAATGAAGTTCAAAGAGCAATAGTTAGACCAATAGTAGTTTATGAATAAAGATATAATGTTATATGCATTACAAACACTGTTGCGAATCATTCTTTGTGAATATGTAATTTTTATGTGCTTGTTTGAATCAGCATGTTAATGTGTGGATCTTATCATGTGTACCTGTCTAGCCATCAGAGTGAGGACCATTTTTTCAATTTCACCATCAGAGTGAGGCCCAGTTGTTGCAAAGTGAGGACATTTTGCTGGTCCTCACAGGCTATTTTGCTAACGTTTAGGTTTAGGGCTAAGGTGTCAATTGGGTTAGGGTTAGGGTGAGGAATGCATTGGTAATGGTTAGGTTTAGGATTAGTGAATAGAAAGGCTTTAAAATGACCAAAAATCAATGGAAGTCAATGGGAGTCGACACAAGGTCCTCACTACATATAGCAGAACGAATCAGAATCAGACTTTGTGTGTGTGTGTGTGGGTGTGTGTGAGTGTGTGTGTGTGTATCTCGTGCTGTGCATGTGTGAATCACATATATGACTTTGTGAAAACTGATACTTTTCTAGTTCCATATAAACTAACACCTTCACCACATTTAGATAGCAGCTACACTGTTAGGAAGTCGATAAGTGGTATCAAACATTTTGAAAGATGCTCAGTTTGAGGCATCTTTGAAAAATATTTACAGGAAATTGTGCTACGTGAGGGAGGATTTTTTCAAGGTAAAATTTTATATCTTTAATTACCATTCTTGCCATTTTACTTTCAGTAAAATATGTTTCCGGAGAAGTGACATACATTTAGCTTTAAATGCTCTACTTCCTCATCTTAAAACTGAAAAAAGCAGCAAAGCTATGAGGGGGATAAAAAGACTCCATAAGATCATTAATTTGGGTGAAAGAATATTTATTTTGAAACGTGCTGTGGATTTAGAAGACCTAAGTCACCAACTTAGCCTCTAAAGTTTGCCTATTCCTGCCTTTATTGTTGGAACCTGATCAGGAAAGCCTGCATCAAGTTAATAACTGTTAAAAATAGAAACCAGGCCTGCTACAACCTGGAAGGATAAGAAGGTATA